CCCTGCAGAGCAGGGCCCTTCACGACGGGGAACTGAGTCATTTACTCAAGTGTATTTCAAGTGATGAACTATAATGAGTTAAACTTTTCTAAAAATAACAACCTCGTTGGTGAAAACCAGTTGTCTGGCCAGCGGAGATAAACTGAGGCAGCACCCCGGAACTGCGGGGAGGTAAGGTATTCCCCATGCTCCATCCAACGCATAGGGCCTGGAACTTACTCTAACCCAAGTGCTGATTTTTATTTTAATAATTTGTATAGGAAAATCTTTCTATTTCACATATACCACAGAGGAAGGAAAAGGGACACTGGCCCAAGTCTGGCTCTGCCACTTGAGCTGTGTGACCTACACCTAGTTACTCGATTTCTCCAAGCCAGTTTTCCTGCCGGCAAAAATGAGTAAACCACAGCCCACCCGGCAGGACTCTTCTGAGTGTTAAAATGAGAAAACACATGTGAAAGACCAAGCACAGTGCCTAGCGCACAGTAGGAACTTAATAAAGGTTGGTTTCCTTCCATCTAATTTTAAGAGGATTTTTTCTGATTACAACATATGAGCCCCTATTTCCATTACTTCTGACAAAGTAACTGAAAATACCCTCCCTAGAAAAATACACAGAACAAGCACACAACACACATCATTAGGTAACATAAAAAACACTGTTCTAAATCAGCGGTTCCCATCCTGGCTGCACAGTGAATCACTGGGAGCTCTAACAGCACCCTGGGGCCAGAGGCTCTGATGGGACCCGTCTGGGACGCAGCCTGGGACGCGGTCTGGGCCAGTATGAGTGGAGGTCCCACCTACTTTCCTCCCCCTTTCACTGGGCTACGCGTTTATTTGCCTACACTTGGCCTTTGTTCCACTCCTCTTTTCTAATTATGTGCTTTTTAATAAGTGTTCTAAGCAATTAACTAGATAATTAAGCACCTTTGAGCTGTGACTAAAATAGAATAAATGGGAGGAGGCACAGGCTTCCCCACAAGGTTTTGGTTTAGGAGGTGAAACTGCTTCTGGCCTGATTCCTGGTCCACAGCTGTCCCCACAGAGCTGAGGCTGGTGGAGGGGGGAACCTCCAGACAGGCGAGCCGTCACACATTTCTCTGAAGCAACCTCGCTGCTATGAATTAGTACAGCTGTATGAAAATGAAGAAAAATGTCCTGGGTTAGGGGGCTTTTATAAACACCTGTAATTCTGAGCTATTATTTCAAAAAACAAAATTTTTCTAGAACCATAATAAATGAACTGAAAACTATTCAACAAATTCACAGATATTTGCCAAAATGTGCTGAAAGCTCAAAAACTGAAATAACCATGGTGGCTGTTTCCAATCCACATAATTGCTTCAGTCCACCTGACACGACAAGGGGAAGGCAAGAGAAAGGTAGGGAAAGGCTAGGGAAGGCAGGAGAAAGGCAGGAGAAAGGCAGGGAAAGGCAGGAGAAAGGCAGGGAAAGGCAGGAGAAAGGCACGGAAAGGCAGGAGAAAGGCAGGGAAAGGCAGGAGAAAGGCAGGGAAAGGCAGGAGAAAGGCAGGGAAAGGCAGGAGAAAGGCACGAGTGCTTGCCCAGTGCCTGCCCTGAGCCAGTCCCTGGAACCTGGACATGCTGCCTCCACACTCCTGTTATTGGAGATAATAAACTCTGATTTGTTTAAACTACTGTTAGTCTATTTATTGTTCTTGTTTTCGTTTTTACTTGTACTGAAAGCATTCCAGAAACACTCTTTGCTTTCAAAAAACTCAAAGTTGAGTGGTTCTGGCAGATGAATAAGTGAATATGTGCAGGATTATAAATC